CGTGAACTATGGAACAAAATGGACTTGTATCTCATGGTAGATATTTTTATCTTTTGTTCCCCACATGATGCTTTAAACCCTCTGGTGTTCTTTAGTTTGTATCTGATATTTAACAAACTGTGTACACGGTCGACCACTGATAGTCGTCTCGACGTAAATATTCTTCCTGCTGTATATTACCCAATTTAATGGCGTTTTTAATCATACTAAAACTTAGGTTTAAATTATGTGTCTACTTTAGTAATGACGATGAGTCACAACGACAAATGAATTAAGAGATATGTGAAAGTGAGTCCCAGAGGCTTATGACTGACCGTTAGGGACAGTGTGGATACAGCATATTGTTTATTATGCCTTGGTAGGTCAAGAGACAGAGAGATGGGCACTACTCGACCACACTCACTTCCTCAGCTATGACGTTAGGTACCCATATACAGATGAACGGACTGAGAATGCCCTGAGACCAAACCAGCAAACCTGAGGAGAATGTTGTGTCCACCCTAGAATGGTCAACAACAGGCTAGTTAAGTTTTGCTCGCTGGGTTAGTTACTAACCTGGAGACGCGAGGAAGCCCTGGACAGCTACTGCCCTGGAAGACCCACCTAGTAGAGACATTATCCTGAGAGACCTTGCTGAGACACTAGCCTCGGAGACCCTGGAGGTAATATCCCCAAGATAAAGCCCTAGAGGAGACCCAGCCTGGAGATGTAACCCTACTAGACCCATCTCCACCATCACACTTGTCTCCGACTCCCCACACTGTCACCCAGCACCCAGGTCGCCCTCACCACCAACACCTGTGAAAAACAAACACACTAAATATCAATCGTCCCTAATAACTTCTCTACGCCACAACGTCAACAACTTCTCTACGCCACAATATCAACAACTTCTCTACGCCACAACGTCAACAACTTCTCTACGCCACAACATTAACAACTTCTCTACGCCACAACATTAACAACTTCTCTACGCCACAACATTAACAACTTCTCTACGCCACAACATTAACAACTTCTCTACGCCACAACATTAACAACTTCTCTACACCACAACGTCAACAACTTCTATACGCCACAACATTAACAACTTCTCTACGCCACAACATTAACAACTTCTCTACGCCACAACATTAACATCTTCTCTACGTCACAACATTACATCTTCTCTACGCCACAATATCAACAACATTCTAACATATTTTCTACGCAACAACATAACAACTTCTCTACGCCACAACGTCAACAACTTCTCTACGCCACAACATTAACATCTTCTCTACGCCACAATGTCAACAACTTCTCTACGCCACAACGTCAACTACTTCTGTACGCCACAATGTCAACAACTTCTCTACGCCACAACGTCAACAACTTCTCTACGCCACAACATTAACATCTTCTCTACGCCACAATGTCAACAACTTCTCTACGCCACAACGTCAACAAAAAATTTTCGTAAAGGAGATATCCGTAAAACCGACTGTCCGTAAAACAGAATATCCATAAAATCTGGTGTCCGTAAATCGTGGGTTACCTCATGTACTTTGGTCAGGTAGATACAGGTGTGTCTTCCAGGTAATCCCTCTAACACTCTGACTTACCAAAACAAACCTGGTGCCCAAGAATGATCCAAACGCCCCGAGTACAATTTCATCCCATGAGTACGCTGTATTTTAACCCTCTGAATACGATGACCACAATTTCTTCGAGTACTAAAACATTGTACTCTGAGCTTTAAGTCATCGTACTCAAGAGGGGTTAAGGTATCTTACTCCTGAGGTCAATATCCTATTCTCTGGGGGTTAACATCGTATTCAAGGGTTAAGTCGTACTCAACGGTTAAGTCATCGTACTCAAGAGTTTAAGTCATCGTACTCATAAATTTAAGTAATCGTACTGAAAGATTTAGATCATTGTACTAAAGGGGTTAAATCATCATACTCAAGGGGTTAAAAGATAGCATATTCAGTGATTTGATCCCGTAATGAAAAGATTAAAATATATCATTTAACCATAAGACACCCAGACACAGTAACTAATCATCCCCTTCACCTGGTCTTCTACGGGACACACACATATATAAACAGCCTTCAACAACAGAGATTATATTCCCGACTCACAACACGGATCTCACTTACACAACTTTAATTCCGAAAGTCTTGACGTGTGCGGCTTATCTGTCATCAGCTGTAGGGTGAAATATGGACCCCGAGTTCCCAGATCATTTTCTTAGTCTGTATCCCCCTCCAATTGGTGGGGGTACAGTGTTCAATTGGTGGGGGATACAGTGTTCAATTGGTGGGGGTACAGTGTTCAATTGGTGGGGTACAGTGTTCAATTGGTAGGGGGGCACAGTGTTCAATTGGTGGGGACACACTGTTCAAGTACAGTTCAATTGGTCACAGTGGGGGTCAATTGGTGGGGTGTTCAATTGGTGGGGGTACAGTGCTCAATTGGTGGGGCACACTGTTCAATTGGTGGGGTACAGTGTTCAATTGGTGGGGCACACTGTTTCAATTGGTGGGGCACACAGTGTTCAATTGGTGGGGGTGCAGTGTTCAATTGGTGGGGTACAGTGTTCAAGGGGCACACTGTTCAATTGGTGGGGTACAGTGTTCAATTGGTGGGGCACACTGTTCAATTGGTGGGGCACACTGTTCAATTGGTGGGACACACTGTTCAATTGATGGGGCACTGATCAACTGGTGGGGCACAGTGTTCATTGGTGGGGATACAGTGTTCAATTGGTGGGGCACACTGTTCAATTGGTGGGGCACACTGTTCAATTCAGAGCACACTGTTCAATTGGTGGGGGTACAGTGTTCAATTGGGGGTACACTGTTCAATTGGTGGGGCACTGTTCAACTGGTGGGCACAGCATTCAATTGGTGGGGGTACAGTGTTCAATTGGTGGGGCACAGTGTTCAATTGGTGGGGCACAGTGTTCAAGGCACAGTATTCAATTGGTGGGGTACAGTGTTCAATTTGGGGCACAGTGTTCATTTCAGTTTTCAATTGGTGGGGCACAGTGTTCAATTGGTGGGGCACAGTGTTCAATTGGTGGGGCACAGTGTTCAATTGGTGGGGCACAGTGTTCAATTGGTGGGGCACAGTTTTCAATTGGTTACAGTGTTCAATTTGGGGCACAGTGTTCAGTGGTGGGCACAGTGTTCACAGTGTTCAATCGGTGGGGCACAGTGTTCAATTGGTGTGGGCACAGTGTTCAAGTGGTGGGGGCACAGTGTTCAATGGTGGGGCACAGTGTTCAATTGGTTGGTACAATTGGTGGGCACAGTGTTCAATTGGTGGGGCACAGTGTTCTGGGGGTTGGTGTGGGCACAGTGTTTCAGTGGTGGGTACAGTGTTCAATTGGTGGGGCAGTGTAGCTCTGGGGCACAGTGTTCAATTGGTGGGGGGGTACAGTGTTCAATTGGTGGGGCACAGTGTTCAATTGGTGTGGGTACAGTGTTCAATTGGTGGGGCACAGTGTTCAATTGGTGGGGCACAGTGTTCCAATGTGGGCACAGTGTTCAAGGCACCGTGTTCAAGGTAGGGGTACAGTGTTCAATTGGTAGGGGGGCACAGTGTTCAATAGGTAGGGGGTACAGTGTTCAATTGGTGGGGCACAGTGTTCAATTGGTAGGGTAGGGGCGAGGGTAGGGGTGGAGAGGGTTGTTTCAACAGGTAATAGGGCAGACACCACCTTTCGTAATATTTCCTACAATTGACATTCTCTAGCGCGTGTATCTTCCCACGCTCCCTCCGTCCTGGGTCTCCGCGCAACACCCTCACACACACCTCTGACGCGTACTGCCCCCCCCTCCCACACGCCCTTGTTACCACCTACCTACAAGCCCGGAGCCTTCAACAACACCTAGTTCCCTTGGATCCATATATGAGGGCTGATGAGGTGAATGAGGATGGAGGGCTTGTTAATGAGGGCTGCGGGTCGATTAATAAGGGTTGGGGTTCGATTATTGGGAGCTGGTAGTCGAACAATGAAGCTGCGAGTCGATTAATGAGGGTTTAGGGTCGATTAATGAGGGTTTTGGATCGATTAATGAGGTCTGTGAGTCGATTAATGAGGGTTGGGATCGATTAATGAGGGCTAGGGTCGATTATTGAGACCTGGTGGTCGAATAATGAGTAAGGATCGATTAATGAGGTCTGGGATAGATTAATGAGGGCTGGGGTCGATTAATAAGGGTTTAGGGTCGATTATTTAAGGTTGAGAGTCGATTAATAAGGGTTAAGGGTCGATTAATAAGGGTTAAGGGTCGAATAATGAGGGTTTGGATTGAATAATGAGGGCTAGGGACCATTTATTGAGAGCTGGTGGTGGAATAATGAGTATGAGGATCGATTAATGAGGGCTAGGATTGATTAATGAGAGTTAGGGTCGAATAATGAGGGCTAGGGTCGATTAATGAGGGCTAGGATCGAATAATGGGTGCTGAGGGTCGATTAATGGAGGCTGGGAGGTCCGTTAGGTAATGAGGGCTGGAAGGTCAGTTAGGTAAAATAAGGACTTCCTTCAGCTAAAATAAGGACTTCCCTCAGCTAAAATAAGGTCTTAGATCCAGGGTCTTAACAATCTTCATTTTCTATAAAACACGTCATCAACATACGATACATAACATCAACTTAAAAATGACCCCTTAAGTTTCGAGTGTCTGTCTTCATTCCCTGTATCGAGGTCACCGTTCACTTCTCATACCAATAGCAGGACCCATCACCGTCAGGGCCAGAGTGCTGTGTAGTTTGCATTATAATTCAGCCCTCTGGTTAAGATTTGATAGAGGAGGATATCCATATGTTGTGTCTATAATCTTCCAAATGCCTCCCCCTCTCCCCAGTCTTTCCTCCCACAGTCTAATAGAGTCAGGAGGGTGGATGGGGAAGGAGAGCAAGAGGGAGGGGACGGTGAAGAGAAGGGGGGGGGCGGAGCTGGTATATAAGCGGAGCGCGTGGCTGACAGTGACATTTGGCTACACCAGCCTCAACGTTCAGCATGGGAGGCGCCACGGTGCGTCACCAGGATATGTGTTTCTGTTTCATAGTTTAGTGCCCCTTGCAACAGCGATGACCACACAAGGATCTTACCGCCGCACCTCACATGAGTGTTCTTTTGTGATAGTTACCCCTGGCATGGTTTTCTGTGATACCCAAACTTGTTGATGTTTTCGTAGATTTGTTGTTTTTAGTTTAACCTAGAATACATTATTTACCTAATGTTATATAAAATACCTTATATTATATTGAACTACAAAATACATCATATTTGAGTAGAGGCCAGGAAATGACCCACAAACCTGAGAATGACGAACGCAAACAGTGTAATATTTCGCCTGAGTGACAAAGTGTTGATGTACACCCAGCCACTAGTGAAGGCATTGTGTCGTTACCGAGGAAGTGCAGACAGTACAGGACCATAAAACCAGACTACCATTAACAGACCAACATGATATACTGTGTGTTATGCTCGAGTTAAACGAGGAAATGGTGCGGGGTTAATACACTAATGGGATGAGTGATTCACTTAATTTTAGGAAAGGTGGAAGAGTTACATGCGTTTTGAGTGTGTGTTGAGTGTGTGATGAGTGGGCTTTGAGTGTGTTGAGTGAGATTTGAGTGTGTTGAGTGGGCTTTGAGTGTGTTGAGTGGGCTTTGAGTGTGCTAGGCGTGTGTTTAGTTGATGTTGAGTGTGTGTGTGTGTGTGTAGAGTTGGACAAAATTGAAGTATATATCAGATAGAGTTGGACAAAATTGAAGTATATATCAGATAGAGTTGGACAAAATTGAAGTATATATCAGATAGAGTTTGGACAAAATTGAAGTATATATCAGAGAGAGTTGGACAAAATAGAAGTATATATCAGACAGAGTTTGGACATAACTACAATACATCAGATACAGAACTACTCCCAGGAAGAGTTACCGTATAAGAGTACGGATACAATTTTCACGGACGCATGAATCTCAGACTACGCACGGACGCATGAATCTCAGACTACGCACGGACGCACCAAGTCACGCAATGTTCTAATTCCTATATATACGCCCATTTGGTTCTCGGTCACCTTAAGCGGGAGGTAAAATAATAATAATAATAATAATAATAATAATAATAATAATAATAATAATAATAATAATAACTGATTGTGATTAGCGATAGGCATTGATTGTAGAACTTAATTGTTTAACTTGATGATTGGGTTAAGACGCCGTATTTATTAATCAACCGAGAGAACATATTCCCCCAACTACTAACAATACAACCAGTCAAATCAGCAGTAAAGGGAGGAATAAACTACCTCATCACTCTACCTACCCCCCTCCCCCCCTCATAATGACGTAATACCTCGTCACAGATATACACAATCATACGCTAATGCTTGTGGTTGACGTATTACCGCGCGACGTATATTAATGTGTACTGTATGTGGCTTGTTTAATAGATGCTAATTAGACCACGAGCGCTGACGTCATTAACCTATAGTGGGGTGGGGGGGAGGAGGGGTGGGGAGGTAGGGGAGGGGGAGGAGGAGGGGGAGGAGAATTTACACACCTGGCCACTGTGTAAAGTTCTCATTATGTACAAGAAGGTTATAGTGATGTGGTTGTATTATAAAGCCTCTATTGTCGCCTCTTCTGGGTTATATATTATAATGTAGTGAAGCCAATAACAAAAGTCCTATTGAAAAAGTTTAAGTAAAAGTTCTATATCACTCTACCATTCTTAAAGACATGTCATTGGTTAAATTGAAACTCAGACATTTCCCAGCTACCAATTTAGACCTGGGTGAGGCCCACAGTTATAAGTATATTAGAGTTGGGTTTACTTGGATTGGGTCCTCAGAATGGGTGCTATTAGTACATAGTATAGCACCGTAATATATTGGGACTGGTATCTATTAAAACTGGTACCTATTAAGACTGGGGCCTATTATTATGACTGGGGCCTTGATACCTTGTAGGACTGGGGTTGACTAAGATCTGGTCGCTGGCTGAAGCCGAGTAGGAATATCATCCTCCCTTGCTGAGGAAAAATAATCATCAGTCAGGTCAAGGAAAGTGTGTGTGTGTGTGTGTGTGTGTGTGTGTCAGCAGTTTGACCTACGCTATCTACTGGCCTGTTAACGCTAGCCAATTTTATTCAGCTCAGAGGGAACCCCGCATACACAAGGTGTTAAATGTGACCAGGTCGCTTTGATTCGGTGTCCGATTAGGTATCACAATGTTGCTTGATTATATTTTATTAAATGTGATTAGGTTGTATGATTAGGGGGCGTCACTAAGTGTTGTGACCAGGCGGACAAGAATGCACAGACGGTAACACTGGCAATCCCATCAGTGAGGTAACGCACGAGGTGGAGACACCAGGTGTGGGGACGGCGGTGTTCTGGTTCACACGTGACTCTCCCTCACCCTGTAACACGGGCCACTCCGTCACACAGGACACCGTGTGATGATGGACAAGGTTGAATTAATCACATTCCGGGGTACGTCAAGAAGCGCACAGTCTTAACAAGAACCGAGTTGTGTAATGTTGTTGTGGCTTCAGGCTAAGTTTAGGTCTTTTAACTGACCTAAGTCTTACGTGCTTCTATCGGTCTTAATTTCAGATGCTTCAAGGGCCCGGGGTTATCCTATAGGTCTGAGGTTTAGGTGCTTCAAGGGCCAGGGGTTATCCTATAGGCCTGAGGTTTAGGTGCTTCAAGGGCCAGGGGTTATCCTATAGGCCTGAGGTTTAGGTGCTTCAAGGGCCCGGGGTTATTAAGAATCGGTCTCAAGTGTTAGTTTCTACACGAGACAACTTTTGAATAATGTGGCGGTGAGATCACACAAGGACTGTATGACTTAATAGTGTTCTGCTTACGTTATCGTGACCGGGTAATACATTTACCCATTCTCACACATTATAGAAAAAAAAAAAATTAACTATTTTTTTCCACGAGGAATTTGTAAAAGTTCGTCTTTCACAAATACTTCAAGAACTAATATAATTCGTTATGTAATAATCCCTATCCCTATGTTGATCTTTATATGTTGGCAACAGCAGCACCGAGTACCACGATGTAAACATTGCAAATTTTCGTATAAACTGATCTCCCTCTTCCATACAGTGACACTCACGGAATGTGCCGCATCTATTACCGAAGAACTCTATACTTGTATACTGAACAGGGTAGTGACTTTGTTTACTATATGAGGGAGCTGAACAATGAAAACTTTGGACTTATTTATTCCTGAAGAGCGATGTGTGGGTTTACTGAAAGAGTTTGTAAGTGAACAATGAGACAGGTGTGGTCTTTGGGGTGGCACGAGGAGGAGGAGGAGGAGGGAGTGTTGGAGAAGAAGTAAGGCAGTGTTGGAGAATGCAGTGTTGAAATATTGATTGTTAGCTACAACCACCCACTCCACCCTCCATCACAGCCCGTAACCAGTACACTCTCAAGGACGAGGGTGTTACACCAATCCTCAGCAGGGAGGGAGGGAGGGAGGGGGTAGGAACTGCGTAACCTGAGTGACGCCCATCATCCGTGGTGACCAGTTAGTAGATCAGCGCTGTGGTGCGGCCATCGGCAGACAGATGTGTCACCAAGGTCCCTCACCCTTCTCTTCTCTCACTCTGTCTCCCCTCTTACTCAATCTCCCTCACCCTCAAGACTCCCTCACTCTCAATCTCCCTCTAGACTCCCTCACCCTCAAGACTCCCTCACTCTCAATCTCCCTCAAGGCTCCCTCACTCTCAATCTCCCTCAAGACTCTCTCTCAAGACTCTCTCAATCTCCCTCACTCTCAATCTCCCTAGACTCCCTCACCCTCAAGACCCCTCACTCAATCTCCCTCAAGACTCCCTCACCTCGATCTCCCTCAAGACTCCCTCACTCTCAATCTCCCTCTAGACTCCCTCACCCTCAAGACTCCCTCACTCTCAATCTCCCTCAAGGCTCCCTCACTCTCAATCTCCCTCAAGACTCTCTCAATCTCCCTCACTCTCAATCGCCCTCAAGACTCTCTCAATCTCCCTCACTCTCAACTTCCCCCACTCTCAAACTCTTTCGCTCTCAACCTCCCTCTCTCTAACTCGTGGTCACCCCTACTCTCCCCCTCACTCCTACTCGTCCTCCCTTTCTCTAACTCGTGGTCACCCCTACTCTCACCCTCACTCCTACTCGTCCTCCCTCTCCCTCCCTCTCTAACTCGTGTACGAGTGTGTGTGTGTACGAGTGTGTGTGTGTGTGTGTGTGTGTGTGTGTGTATACGAGTGCGTGTGGGCATGAAAGTAAAAGTACACATTCGTCAAAAAATATCATCATGCAACTATGAATAAACGCGTACATATTTTCACACACACACATATACGTACATACATCATACATACACATACATCATACATACACACACACATACATGAATATACTGTAAGTGAGAGACAAACATTCCATTCTCAACAATTCAAAAGTAAGTTTCTCCAGCACAACACACTGTACACAGCCTCGCCACACTCATCACCCCGTTCCCACCAACATGATAAGTTTCACCTCATTTTCTTTCAATAAAATTCGTCTGGCATTACATGAGTCTGCCCTTATCAATTACTCCACCTCTTGAACCCATCTCCTCGACCTGTGTGTGTGTGTGTGTGTGTGTGTGTGTGTGTGTGTGTGTTTATTGCATCTCAAATGCCTAGTTTATTATATTCTCGTAAAAGTATTCATGAATAAGAAAGTTTGTATATATGTATATGCGAGTGTATATACGTTATCGTGTTGGCCTCCTCAGTAGTGACGTAAAATATGAATAGTGACGCAAAATATGACGTCACGCGCCCCAACCAATCACAGGATGTCCTCTTGTCAACTCCACGTTAAGGGATTTTTCTGGGTTAGTGTTTTAGGACTGGATAAAGAGTTTCAAATTACCTTTAATAGAGCTATGGAGGTTGGATAAGGGTTTTATGGGGGGGTTGGATAAGGGGTTTATGGGGGTTGAATAAGGGGTTTATGGGGGTTGAATAAT